GAGGGTGCTTGGGGGGTGCCCCGTGGTTTAGTGGTGACCAAGCTGATGGCTGCTCTCCCCGCAGGGAAGCCGACGCTGTACGGCAGCCTGACCCGCCATGGGCTCAGCACCGAGGGCGTCCCTGACATCACTGCTTCCGAGGGCTTCGTGGTTGGGGAAGTCACCAAGGTGCCAGGGCCGGGATGGAGCGGGGGTCGGTAGCCGCCTTCTGTGCACGAAGGGGCCGTACTCTTAAAACAGTCAAAATAGCAGCTGAAAGCTGTCGCCCAGTCCCTTGCATGGTGTTTCAGTAGGACAAACAGCACTTCTAATTCATTTTTCCTGCTCTCTTTCCTCCTCTAGAAAAGCATTCTTGTTTCTTGTCCTCATGAAAATGTGTCCACGAAGTTCCTGGCCCCGTACACGACTTTTAGTCGAATTCATCAGAAAAGCGTAAGTTTCCCTCTCACTTTGTGAGGTTATAACTGGAAGCAACTGTGAACTTTTGCAACGTGTCCGTCTGTTATGTGCCTGTTTTGAGGGGTGGTCTGCAGCGTGACTTTGTGTGTGAGATAGGTAATAGAACAGATGATAAAAAATTCAGGACACTTGATCATGGTTGAGTTTACCCTGCAAAAATATTCTCTACAATTCTTCAGAGTGTTTTCTTCCACGTGATCTAATTCCTGCTCGCTTTAGCCCCATGACAGATCTCCCTGTAAAAAAATCAGATGTGAATTAGTGTGTCAAAAACCCATGATAAAAAGAAGAGGTTCCAGACACCGAGATCTTAATCTTTGACTCATTCAAACCTTCCCCTGGTTTGTCCCAGCTGTTTGCTCCCATATAATAAAGTTGTTGTTTGTCTTTGATATTTCCTGTCTAAATTTGTGTTTGCGGAGCTGGGAATTGAATGTTGCATAAACTCAACTTGGTGGGAGTTTGGAGACTAGAAAAGCCTAGCTTGAATTAAAAAAAAAAAAAAAAAAGCACAAACTTCTCACTTGTTAAATAGAAATCCTGCTCATTTTGATGAATAATCTCCTTTCTTATTGCACCCCCATCCATCTGGGGGTGCAACAAGCACAGCTCCTCACAGAGCAGGGTTACAGAAGGGCAGACTCTGACCTGAAATTTCATTTCTTCGCTGAAGAGAAGCACAGAACTTGGCTTTGCTGGAGAGTAATCTGTGCTTTTGCTGAATGCTTAACCCTCCACGGAATGATCTAAGAAACCAGGGAGTGTTTAGCCTGCGGCTACAGCCGGCTGCCCTAAAGGGAGTCTCCTGGAGATGTTTTAGTCACTTGTCTCAAGATTTGTTGAGGAAATTGTTGTGATAGACCCAGCTGAAAATGCTGACGAGTCAGTCTCCATTAGTGAAGCCCAGAAGCGGTATAAATCAAGGTGCGTTTTGACATAAAGGCGATTCTGCATCTCTACAGCTGTTTTAAGAGGAAGTGAGGCTCGGCGGAAAGACGGAGCTTGGCAGTAAGGCAGCTCCAGACAGAGGTGAATCACTTCTCTGAGCTTTGTGCTGCTTGAGAGTCCCCAGCTGCCCTTTTGTCTGATAAAGGGGAATCAACATTCGAAGCGCAGCAAAATGGAACTGCAGGCGTAAGTGTTTATTCTGCTGCCAGACGTTGCGATGGGTTACAGCTGCGCTGCAGATCTCTCCTCTGGAAAGCAGCTGAAGCAGTCTCTGTTAATACAAAGATATGTTTAAAGCCGGTGTGGATGAGCTCCAGTTCTCCTTTTTACCTTCTGCCTCTTGTTCTCAGCGCTCGTGCTTGGCTTTAGGTTTTTTGTTCCTGCTTGAGTGACCTTCACCAGCTTTTTTTTTTTAAACTCCGTAGCAAATTTCCAGAGATTGATTTTATTATATAAAATGCTGCTCATGTTACCAGTATATTTCTGACATTACTGCTCTGTAAGTAAATGCACTTAATGACTGTTTTAACGACTAAACTGTTACCTTGTGCTCTCATTTAAATCTTCTCATTCCTCTTTTAATTCCCAATTTTATTTTTTTTCAAGTGGAGGTTGAGTGTTGATGCTGCACCCTGTTAAAATTAGCTGTCAGAGCTTTTCAGGAGAGCGGTTTGGTCTGACTCTTGCTTGGATAGGAGAACTTATGACTCAAGTGTGGCATTTCATGTCCCCACAAGCCCTGGATGATGCACATGCAGCAACAGGATGCCATAGGACGTCCTCCTTAATACTGTGATACAGGTCTGCTAGGTACTTGGTCTGCTGAGGGCATCATCCCTAAATCTCCAGCCTGTAGCTATTGTCTTTCTTGGCAGAGTCTCTCAATCTCCTCACATCTTTGTGTTTCCCTGTGATCATCGTAATAAATCCAACTGTTCCTTCCGGCTGGCCCCTGGCTAAGGCTGAGCACATGGAAGAGGCTCAACGAAGCCCAGTCCTGTTCGAGGATAATTAATTGTTCAGAAAAACATTTCATCTGAAGCCAGGGATGAAGACGAACAGCTTCATCCCTTCCATACCTGAGCAGGTGGTTGTGACCTGCAAGTGCGCTGTGCGAGTTAAAATCGGAAACCTTTGCTTCCTCTTGGTGGTGAGGGATTGGGATGGCAACAGAATCGTGAGCTGCATTTCTCATTTCTGCCTGAATTTTACCACTGTGGTATTTTCTTCTAATCCTCGGAGTGTCAGTGCAATGATTGGGAAGCTTTTGGAGGTCATACAGCATGGACGTGATGATCCTTGAGGTCTTTTCCAACCTTTATGATTCTATGACTCCAGTATCCAAATCTTGCAGGATGAGCCAACTACATAGTTGTGGAATAGTTTTAGTGGGTAGTTTTATTGGTTTTTGCAGGATGCAACACTAGTGTTAACCTTTTTTCTAACAAAATCCATATATTTGGGTTTTTTTCAGCCTGTTTAGTGTTGCTGCAATCTATATTGGAAATATCTCAGTCGCTTAGACGATGTGATTATTCCACTCAAGGCTGGAATACCTGTTACCTAAAATTATTTTAAAATAGAATATTTCAGGGAGCTGTAACGATCATCTAGTCCAACTGCATTTATCCACAACTAAAATGCATCCACCTGTCCCAAAAGGCAGCAATAAAGTCTGGCATGACGGGAAAGGTTGTCCTTTTACAATACCAGCTCAACATCTGCTCTTTTCAAACATTTTTCAGCTCTCCCAGTGCTTATGCAAAGCTGTTGTTAGTACCTTAGTGACACGCTGTGAGGAGTCAGAAAATAAAAATAAATATCTCAACCAATGTCTTGTGGGCTTGCGAGTCAGGGCGTGCTCAAGCTGGGCAGATGTTTTGGGCCAGTGTGGAATGATTTGGCTCAATTTCTCATCTGTGTCCAGGAGTTGCTGGAAAAATCCAGTTTTCTGCTTCACCAGGGCTAAACCCAAAATCCAGCTGCTGTCTGTGCAGCCTTCTGACTCAGCGTTTGTTTCTCTCCCTGTTTTGCAGATCTCTGCAGAGTCACGAGCAGAGAATTAACAATTTCTCTGTCGATTTTGGTGGCAGTTACAGCTTGGAGGGGTGCGTCGTGCCAGGTTCCGGTCGCCCAGCTCATCTGAGCCTTGGCTGCGGGTCAGCCCAGATCAGGAGCTCGCTCTAGAAGGAAGAATGGAAATTGAGATAAATTAAGGAGAATTACTTTTTACGCTGCCTTTGTCCTCTAGATAGAGCCTGCTCTTCAGTATCAGCTTGGTTTTTAATTTCTTAAGGGCTTGATTAATATCTCCTCAAACATATTGAGAGGGTGAAGCGAGAAAGTCCGTGAAGTCCTTGTTTAAATGTTAGGATATTATCAGGCTAAGAGCTGGAGTATGGAAACTCTTTTGGGTGTTTAATGAGTCCAGAAATATGTCTTGGGGAGATAATAGCGCTGAATGAAACTTAGCAGGTTTTTCTGAGTACAGAGTTAGGCTCTTGAGCAGAAATACCTATAGACAGGGTCACATAAAGCTAAGGTTTGGTGTTTTTTTCCTCTCCTGCAGATTACCTGTCTTGATGTTTCCAGTGGTGGAGGGCTTGGTGTATCGACCAGCACAGACGGGACCATGAAAATCTGGCAGGCTGCGAACGGAGAAATAAGAGTAAGGGCGTCTAGTTTGGATGTTGTGTGTTGTCTGTGACATTACTGAGGTCATTCAGCTGTGACTTTGGTCAGGCTATCTGCACGTTGTGGTCTAGGGTGGGCAAGAATCTGGCTTTTGATGGAAAAAATAATTAAAATTTGATATCTTGGAGGTTTTGAGTCAAATCTGTTGGAAAGCGTGATTTCTCCCGAGGGAAATGATGCTCAGCAATCTGGAGAGGGTGAAAATGAGAATAGGTGCTTAAGAATGACAACTAGAGTGCAGAAAGTAACTGACAGCTCCTAACCTGTGTGGTACAGACACTGAATTTCTTCTGCAGTAGAGAAGAGATGGGGAGAAAAGACTCCTGCCTGTGATGGATTAACCCCATCACATCCAGCTACCTTCCCAGTTAAGCTGTTTCTTGTGGAGCTTGAGCTGTCAGCTCCTTGTTTGGCAGAGGATAAAGACATTTAACCTCTTTTTAGAAAGAAATGTGGTATTTTTTCCTATGTAATTAGCTACTTAAATGGCAGAGGGAGGCCTGAAGCATACCTGCTGCCCCTTTGACTGCCTCAAATTCAGAGTATTCCACTGTGGGAGTGCAAACCCAGAGGATTTGAGCTTAATCCTCTGCCCCTGTGGGAAAACCAAGTTTTCCAGTGTCAGAGCTCAAGAATTGCTCGACGTAAGGGTGATAACAACGGAACTAGCACGTAGTTCTTTGTTTTTCCAGAGGCTGTTGGAAGGCCATGTGTATGATGTGAATTGTTGCAGGTTTTTCCCATCGGGCCTCGTCGTTCTGAGCGGGGGAATGGATGCCCAGCTCAAGATCTGGTCAGCGGAAGATGCCAGCTGTGTAGTGACATTTAAAGGTCACAAAGGAGGTACAGAGTACTTAGACTTTTAAATGCTTGATTTACCATGTGTATAATTGTGTTGCATCCGAGGGCGAATGTTCGGTCACCAGCCTGCTGCACTTTGTGCTGTGCATTTGTGTCAGATGTCCAAAATATCTTTCTTGAAGCTCCCAGAACTTAAAAAGAAAAAAAAGATTGATTATGGTTGACACTGTTTCTCTCACCAGCCTGCGTTTTCTTCATTAATTAAGGTAAAAACAGGGAGGATGCAGTCCATTAGCCTGTTGTAAGTGGCAGAGCTGCAGGACATTCTGCTCCTCCGAGGCAGTTTCAGGTCTCCTGCACTCTGACTTGCCTTCAGCAGCCTTGCTGCCTGCCCTGGGAGTGCCTCCTGCTTGCACCCAGATCATCCTGCTCACCTTCAGTTGCTCCAGAGCTTCTTCCTGTTTTTTTTTAATTTTTTTCCCCCAGAAAAATATTTAGCAGTTTTTTATGGATTTTTTCCCCCAGAAAAACATTTAGCAGTTTTTTATGGACTTGCAGAATTCAGGCAGGCACTTAGCTGCCTTGAGGACACATGCTGTTGAAAGTGAGGAAGGCACAGTGAGAGCAGCTGCAAGGATACTTCGGTGGTTTTTTAAGAAGGGCTGGAATAAGCTCGTTCATAGAATCATAGAATCATGAAGG